ACCAAAGCTCTGAAACCACTTTGTTGGGGATTGAACCAATAACACAACCAAACGTAGTAGAATACAATATCACAATCCCCTATTATGCATAATCAAAATGGCAGTAAAAATCACACTAGCTCCAACTCACACGCACTGGCAAAAATGTAAAGATAAGAACACCAATATTTGTTCACTAGGGAAACCCTTCAACGTGAAGGAAAAACCCCGAGACCTAGTCCAATAAAAGCCATCCACTATCAAAATAATGGGATACACAGTTAACCCTCTCCAGAACACAATCTAGAGGCTACCAATACATCAAGAACACACATATATTCTTGGATATCAACAACAACATCATACTAAAATAGATACACACACAATAAGGAGAAAATCTCACTAAACTAGTGTGTAGAGCCCAGAGAAATGGAGAAGAATCTGTACAATCAGCTTCGGTCAAAATATAGCTATCTTTGCCAAGAATAACATATTGAAATTTCAGCTTAATCGGACCATGGATGAATCTCGATCTTTGGCAAGAAAAAACTAAATAGCGCAGTCTCTCTCTCTCTCGTTCGGTCTCTGTTTCAGAAGAAAATGAAGTTGTCTATTTTGGAAAGTCTGCTGCCCGTTTTTCTCCCTCAATTGTATCTATATTTGCCTTTGTTATTGGACCATTAAATGGGTTTAATTGGTTCGGGCTTTAGTGGGCTACTAAATGGGTAAGTCCCAAAAGTAGAGGGAAAACCCAACATGAACATGGTAAAGATCAACTATTTAGACTACGTCGCCCCAAATTTTTTAATCGCTTTCTCTTGAAAAATGATATGAAGATTTTGGGATATTTTGAGTCAATATGGTATTTGTATAGGATTAAAAAGAAGAGATTGAGCGGGTTTTCATTTTGGTTAGTAACTGATGCATACTTCTTGAATCTTAGATAAATGAAGAAGCAACATCCACCCATATATTGACTAGGTTGACAAATGAGAAATCGTTTGGTAAAGTTCAAATTTGTCCATGAGATCTTCTTGTTCATCCGGCTTCCACATCTACAGATATTCAATTACAAGGTAGAGCCGAAAGCTCGAACTGTTAAAGAGAGATAAACCTATTTACTAGGACAAAAAGGAGAGACAAATATTAGGTTTTTGGAGCAAAGTATAAAATGGGACATACGATTTTATCCTTCATTTTATTGGTAAAAAAGTGGTCAGAACTTTTTTTTGATCAACTGATGTACGTATGAACGGATTATGTATTTTGGCCACATACAATTGAAAATTTTAGGATCTTGAGTACAATGAATTAAAGGTTAAAAATTATTATTATTTTTTTTTTTAAATTTGGCATATCTCAATAATTTATGGCCACTATCACAAACCAATAATTATTAATTAATGCTCTCTATCATTCTGTCAATTAATACCCAAAAAACCTAATCAACCGGAATATTAGATAGGTTTACAGACTCATCAGTTGACTTTTAATTCGTTGACTTTTTGGATGATATTATATGTAAAATTACGTTGGTAAAGTGAAGTCATTGATTTGCTATGATTTTCTCAGTAATTAAAAGGATTATTAGGTCTGTCTTAGCTGTAGGCGTGCTTAACAAACAATAACGTATTGCTTCGGGACGGAATATTGGTCTGTGATACGAAAGGCAGAAAACATATTTTCATATTTAATTTTATTCAATATATATATATAAACATCATTTTTTGCATATTTTACAATCAAAATAACAAATTTTATTTTATTTTTATCTTGCATGACGATTGTAAATATGAATATGACTACGTCATTGTAATATATATATATATATATATATATATAAACATCATTTTTTGCATATTTTACAATCAAAATAACAAATTTTATTTTATTTTTATCTTGCATGACGATTGTAAATATGAATATGACTACGTCATTGTAATAATTTATTTTACTTTGACTATTTAAAATATTTAAATTTAAATTTGTTTAGTCGGTTATTTACTAATTGATAAATACAGCCATAGGGTATTATAAAGTGACTTGATCAAAACTATGATACACGTTAAATAAATAAACGAAATAATGATGCAAGAAACCAAAAGATGGAAGGAAAGGGTCGAGCCTTCTGATCTGAATCTCGAACACTACTTTGATAGATGTATGTCCATTTCAAGCATAAAAGAAAATCAAAGGTTTGATCGGTATCATGACCTGGGACCTGAAAGCGTGTTCAACCCACCTAAAAAGCCGTTATTTTCTCTCTTTCGACCCTTATCGATGATTTTCGAATTTGAGCTTACGAGCCAACTGTTTACATAGTTTTTATCGTACACCTGTAGAGCTGCTCATCAAGAAAGATTTCAAATCGTGTTTCAACCATATGACTCAATCTCTTTCTTGGACTGTTCCCAAATCCTCAGAATCGGTGTCTGATGGTCTTTATCTCCGCTGTGGAATCTGAAATAGATGTTCTTAAATGTATCTTTTACGCATAAATTTTTTGTTTATAAGTAATCTTTTTAAGGTCAGCCATAGGAGAGAGATATCCTGAAAATAATTAGGACAAATTACATATTAAGCCACCAACATTTATCGAAAGTTACGATTCTGTCCATAAAATTTTTTAGTCTTATTCTTATATTCAACATTCCATGAAGTAAGTCAGTCTCTAATAGCAGTTTTCATCTAATTTCTCCACTAACTGTGGCGTGCACTTTACACAAGCCATTTTTACAAAGAATAGAAATGCGAGGCTACTATTAAAGAAGAATAAAATAAAAAAACTATTGGAAAAGCAAAATTTTAGTAAAGAAGATGCTTATATTTTAATAGACAACTATTAAAAAATATTTCATATATTTTTCTTTTTCAATCTTGTATGATTTAACATATGGATACATTTTTTTAAAAAAATTTTTACACGATCAATAAAGTACTTAAATTTTATCTACGAACAGTCATTTTCTTGTTTTACATTCAAAACATCGTACTTTATTGTGTCTTTATCTTGCATGATGTCAATGTAAATTGTTGACATAATTTATTTCACATTGACTTATACAATATTCAAATTCATTTGTTTATAGTGTTATTTACTAATTAGTAATTAAAATAATTACAGCCTAGGTATTATAAATTGACGTTCAAAATTTGAGTTTGGATGTTGGATTTTCATAGTAATGAATAATATATTAGAAATAAATTAACGAAATAATGATGCAAGAAATGAAAAACGTGTAGGTTCGTTTGGTATATAGGCTACATAACTTTTTGTTTATAGACATATTTCATTTTTCAATTTTGCTAAGGTTTCATCAAGTTTGACATTGAAATTGACATTGTTATGATGTGATAATTTGTTATATATTAATTTTAATAATACTTTAAACAATCAATAGAACAAATTTTGACACATCTTGAAAATGTCAAATTTAATGTACACTAAGAGTGTACACGTATTATAATTCTTTATTTTTAATACATCTCTATTATTAATATTTTTTTAGACTAGATGAATTTTTGTATTTAAACATTCTTTCTTTACTTTCAAATGAAAATTGTTATTTATTCAAAACAAACATATTGATTTATAATTAAAATTTATAGTTTTAAGCTTAATCACGAGAAAAAAAAATTCCATAAATTCTTTGATGAAATTAACTAAACTGCATATTTAGTTTTTCAACCATTATCCAAAGTTACGATTCATTCCCCAGCTATCAGAATGTGGTGAGTTTGTCATGGGAGTCTAGAGTCGACTTTTTATTTAAATTCTTTGCTATCTAATGATTCTGCATCGAGAATTGCCTATTAAGATGGAGGATCAATAGATCTAGGTTTGAGATGAGTGGATTTGAATGCTTCGAAGACAGATGATCTTGGTTGCAAGTCTTTGCAGTGGTGGTGATTGCTGGGTAATAAGACAATCACAAATTTTTTTTCCTTTCATTATTTTTACTCTTGGTTAAAAATGGCTCGTGCAACACACTTGCCTTAATCAAAATAGAAATTAGATGAGAACTATCATTTACAACTAACTCTTCTAATTCATACAAGATTGAAGAAGAGAAGGCAATGAATAAAGTTGAGGACCAGATTGCAACTTTCAGCAAAGGTTGAGCGTTACATATTCAATTTATCCAAATAATTAAAAAAGGGCCCTGGTGTAGGTAGGAGTGGGATGTTTGGCCAATGGTGATACAGACTGAGTCAGCAGTCAAAATAATAACAAGAAATTGTCACAAACTTTAAATCGCATCTTTTTACAGGGACCAAATCCGTGCTGTTGTCTCTCGCTCACCTTCCTGTCAAAAACCTGCCATACTCAGTAGAAATTGGATATACATAATAGGTTAAAGCCACTGTTGTCACCCAAGAATAACTCTACATATTAATCATTATATCTAGGGCTTGTTTGGTGCTAATTTTACAAAGGAATTTTTTGACCATTAGCTTGAAATGTGAGTCTCACTTGTGAGTAAAAAGGTTAAAAAATAAAAAAAATATGGCTGAATGTGTTAAATAACAACCAAAAAATTAATTTTTTGACTTGAAAAATCAGCACCAAACAAAATTCTATTTTTATCATTCGACTAGAATGACAAAATTGCGACAAGTTGGATCATCTCTTAGTTTTTGTGCAATGGATCGTCGTTCAGTACGAAAGGTTTCTTAATTTAATGGATTTAAAATATTGATTGCATAGCAAAATTTCACATAATCATTTATCTTGAACATTACGTCGTTTTTTATTATTCAATTAAGTATTTAAATACTAGGGGTCTGCTCGATAGTAATTATGAGAATCAATTTTTTGACCGTTAGAGAGAAAGTGAGTTCTATGTGTGAGTAAAGAAGTCAAAAATAATAGCTAACATAGGAAAATAACGATTAAAAAATTGATTTTTTGGGATGAAAAATCATAACCAATTTGTCTTTTCAGCTTAAAAGGTTAGAGGAATAGGAAGCTTGAATTTTTATACACAATTGATGGTAACTTTTTTGAACAGCCAACCAAATTATTTTTGAGTTCAAAGAGCTATAGTATGACGTCGAAACACACATCAAGCCAAGTGTGAAATCAAGAACTAAGAGAATCTCAGTTTTGGGTCTTCTCTCCCTACCTCGGAAAAAAGGCACCATATTTTTCAGATTCCTTAAATTTTTCATAGAATGTTCACATCTCTGTAAAAAATTTCCACTTCTTCTAATTAGTATTCACAGTTTTCTGCACTGAATTTGCAGTTTACCCTTTTCATATTTCGCTTCAAAATGCATTTTTTATTACAAAAATAAACTTCCTTTTTTTTTTTTTTTTAGAATATCCATAGGCAGACGTACAAGGTAATATCTGTACATATGATGACATGTTTATGAGATTCTTCAAATTTGGTTTAGAAAAATGTCTGAACCAGCAGGAGGAGTTCGTTTAGTTCGTTGTCCAAATTGTGAGAATTTACTTCAAGAGCTTACTGATTACTCTGTTTATCAATGTGGAGGTTGTGGTGCTGTTCTAAAAGGTAAAATTTCTACAATTTATTCCTTTTTTCCTTCATTTTTGTATCAAATTTTTTCTTTGTGAAGTGTTTCTTCAGTTTATGTTGTTTATAGTATACCCCTTTTCTTCTTAAATTACAAATACACTAAAATTCCTGAAATTGAAATTTTATTTTGATGCATATGCCTATTGGAAGAGTACTTTCAATTTGTTTGGGCTTAATGGAACGATTAAGAATTTAAGTAATTTGTGGCTTCAATGGATTTTTCAGCTAAGGATAAAGGTGTTGACTTGGATACATTATCAGAGAAGTCTAATGAAGAAAGGGTAGGTGAAAATTTATCGGACAAGAGAACAACGGAGTCGACTGATAACTCCGAAAATGATGTGAGGTCGAACATTAGTTCTTCCAGCAAAGCTGGGAGGATGGTCAGGCACGATAGAGGTGAAATTTATAGGACTAATTTGAATAATAAAGATGAAAAGTGTGGTGCTGAGGATGATATGATTCAAAATAATAGAACTGGTGAACTACATGAAGCGAAAATTGCTAAAGATTTAGAGGACTTGAGGTTATATAATGAGGATGAGAATGGGTTGCGAAGACCCGGGCATATGATGAATTGGAGAAACCAGGAGAGAAGAGAAATGGATGGATTTCGAAGGGATCGGAGAATGGATGTAGAAGGTATGGAATATGTAACTTTGACATATTCTGATGTAATGCAAGATAAAAGTACTAATGAACTGCATGGAACTAAAATCTCTCAAGATTTAGAGGATTTGAAGATGTATAATGAGAATGAAAATGGGTTGCCAAGATCGAAGCCTATGATGAACTGGAGAAACAGGGAGAGAAGCGAAATTGAGGGATTTCGAAGGGCTCAAAGAATGAATGTCGAAGGTGTGAGATATGCGAATCCGATATATTCAGGAGAGGATCTTCCTATTTTCCAGTCTAAATCCAATTATGAATATGAAGATCTGAAGAAGAAAATGAATGACACCAATGGATTTGTAAAGGTTGACTTCGTTGGACAAGGTAGAGCTGAGATTGTGAGGAAGTTGGACGAGCTGAAGGACGAGCTCAGTCGGTCTGGTGAAATTGTTGAGAAGGGTAAAGAAAAGGTTCCTCTTGACAGGAAGGCATTTTATCAGGATCGTTATGTTGGTTCTGGAAATTGGTATCCCGATGGCTCTTTGGGATTGAATAGGGCATCAATGCAATACCCCTATCCTGATAAACAATACGGAAGACATCCTTATTTGAATCACTATTCCGAGCCATCTACTTTGCTGCAAAGGCAAGAAATGGAAAGTAATGGCTTTTATCCTCCTGGGTACGCTCCAAATCATCTCCAAGAATTTGAGGATCCATTGAGGTCTCAAATGCTCCGGAGACGTCCACACGAACCCCTTGCTTCTTTTCAGCAACCTCGATCTCGTGCCTATTATGCTGGACAATACATGGATCGTGATATGTTTTATATGGGTCAGATGGAATCATGTCCTCCTAATGTTAATCGCCACCATCCATCTTGCCCTTGTTTCCAATGCCACAACAAAAGACAGGTCCCTCTTGCTGTTCCACCTGCTGCCTTTACCGATGAAAGGTTATTGGATGTCCCAGATGATTTGATGCTTAATCATCATGAAACTCTCGGTTCATATGGTCTACGAGATTATAACTTCAGAAATACTAATTCCCCGCCAGTAAGATCTCATATTTCTGAATTGCACCCAAGATGGCCTAGTGACGTGAACTCAGAAGTGGATGGTTTTACTCGTCGCCGTCGGCCTAGGGTACATCCATCTGGTGGTGGAAGGCATTGCCGCCCTATAGCTGGTGGTGCTCCATTCTTGAAATGCTACAATTGTTTTGAGTTGCTGCTAATGCCTAAGAAAGTTTTGACCAAGGAGAAAAACCAAAAGAAAATGATATGCGGGGCATGTTCTACAGTAATTTTGTTTGCAATTTCCAACAAGAAATTAGTCATCTCTATTCACGAAGAAGCAAAGAGTACTTCTTTAAAGGTTGACGGTGATTATGATGTGGTGTCAAGAAAAGGTAATTCGTACGTCTATGGACATTTGAAGCAGGCTACCACAACATTTTTGTCTGAAGATTACGAAAATATTGGTTATGATTTCCAATCGATGGATAACAAATTCAGATCACTGTCAACTGGAGAGGAAACCTCAAGCAAGTCTGCAGAAATGAAAAATTTTGAGGCAGAAGAATACTTTGACCATTCGACTGCATCTAGGAAAGACTCGAAATCTGCTGAGGTGGCAATAAAGGGAAAAGAACCTCCACCTCCTGCAGGTTCTCCACTTCAAGATTACTTTGAATATTCTAACAAGTATCATGTGGCAAATCATTTTGGAGATAGAAACATAAGTGTACGGTCTGAACGGGACAAGCCACTTCCAAACAAGAGTACTACATGGGAGAATTCGATGAAAGACTCGTCATCGGCAACTGAGATAGATATATCATCAAATGAGTACGCTAATACTGGAACATCTCTAGATTCAGGTGATGCAAGCCGAGAAAGTGATCGACTGAGACGTAATAGAGCAGCCGAGTCATTTTTCGCTGGCATCATTAAGAAGAGCTTTAAGGAATTTAATAGATCCAACCAGACTGTCGAGCTGGAAAAGGCTAATGTTACAGTTAATGGGCATCTTATACCGGATCGGCTAATTAAAAAGGCTGAAAAACTGGCTGGACCAATCCAACCTGGACATTACTGGTAACCCACTAAACATCGTGCATTTGATTTCTTAGTTAAAAACTTTTTTTAACTTTCCTTTACCAGGTATGATTTTCGAGCTGGATTTTGGGGTGCAATTGGAGGTCCTTGTCTTGGCATAATACCGGTAAGCGCCATAAGTCTCTTCTGATGATAACTTGATCTTTCCACATTTTAACAAGTATATGTCGTTTTAGTGCAGCCATTTATTGAGGAATTTAACTATCCTATGCCAGAAGAATGTGCTGGTGGAAAGACACGTGTTTTTGTAAATGGTAGAGAACTTCACCAAAAAGATATGAATTTGTTGGGGAGTAGAGGGCTTCCAACAGATAGAGATAAATCTTACATCATTGAGCTATCTGGTCGAGTCCTGGATGAGGACACTGGCGAAGAGCTAGAAAGCCTCGGCAAACTAGCTCCAACGTGAGTCCTAATTCTCAAATATATGCTTATTTATTTGTTTAATTTATATTTTCCCTTCTAATTAAAGAAGACATCCAAGCTATGCACTAAGGGCGTAATGGTTTCATTTCTTTATTAGAGAGGTCTACTGTATATGTTAGATAATTCTTGCTCATTGAATCTATCCCTCCACAAATGTCCCGCGATGATAGTTATACAAGTTTTTCTTTGCCTTGACACCATATTTTGCCTACATTTTTGCACATTATTGTACAAGCCTTTTTACTTAAAATATCTTTGCTTTTCTTTGCCGTTACCTGAATTTTAATTTCTAAAGAACTTTAACAGCGTGGAAAAGGCTAAGCGTGGATTTGGCATGAGAGTGTCCAAAGCAGCTACCTGACTGGCAACATTCTGATGCCCAACTGGTTTGCACCACTACTTTACAACATATGAATAATCCTTAAAAAATGGTGCTCGGTGAATAAAAGACGGTTTTGACAAAAATCTGTGTAAATGTTTGGAGGAAGATATCTAATTTATCCTTCACCGTTGTTGATCTTGTGTGAAAAAGGTATATCTTGGGTGTACTCAGCTGGTTCTTGGCGCATATGTATTGTTCCTTTTTATTTTCTTTGATTTGTTACTTCTGCACTTTTGGCTGTGGGAAATGGTTGGCTTTGTTATCATTTTCTATGTTTATCAAGCAAACACGAAATTGAAACCCGGAAAAACAATCTGAATTATAAGTTCTGGTTTCAAGTCCTGGATTGCCCTGGCACAATGTAATTATGTATATTTCGAATTTATATGCAATTTATGTGTATCACTTGGTTTGTCAATGAGCATTTTGTTGAACATATTACTGCTGCATTTTTTATGCTTGCTCAATATTTAATGTATATAATTAGGAATAATGATAATGAATAAAACTATGTATTGACACACAAAAAGTTCAGCCCAAATCGAATAGCTCAAGGAATGAAGCCCAATTGGAGGATTCTCAAATAAGATAGCCCAAAGAACGGCCCAATCAGGCAATTCAGGATAAATGCCCAAATAGGGAAGCTCATGAACGCAGTAATACCATCGTCCAAGCTTGCAAGTCGCCCAAGATTTGAGCGAATGGATTACCATACAGTCGTCCAGAGCTGTGACCCTGTTCTCGCCAAAACCTTTGAGCCGCCCGGGATCTTAGCAAACATAAGATGTTATGGTTACCCAAAAGTGCGATTAATGAAGCAGTTATTGAGTAGCTCTATCACGTTTCACGATTCAAGAAATTTAATTGAAGACGGTTGAACGACAAAAAGTAATGACAGCAGTTAGAAAAGGCAGTTCCATAATAAGTTGGCCACTACGAAGAACGTGGGCAGTTATAGAGCGATCAAGCAGTTTTTAAGCGGTTGATCATGAAGAGATCATCCAGGGAGTATAAAAGGAAGAAAAGATATAGAGTAAAGGACCCCGAATCAAACACTCTCAAACAGAGAATATGTAACTTTCAATTTCTTAGTTTAGATTTAAACACTTCTTTTCAGTAACTCGTGTGCTTGCGCCCTTTGGAGGCATTCTATTTTTATTTTCCAATTGTAAAGTCATCGCCAATAAAAATACCCCTTTTTGAGACTTTGTTTCAAGAGGTTTGTCCCTTACACAATCGTCTGATCCCTTTTTAATTGTTAGCGACTAACCCGCGCGAAACAATTTGGCACACCTGGTGGGACAGTGGTGTTTGGTGTTGAAGATAAAAAAAAGGTGAAACAATATGTCTCAGAGATCCGATAAGGAAGCAGCAAGTCAGGGAGGAGTTCAGTCTGTGATCGAGTGAT